GTGGCAAGTAAATGACCAATCGCGATGCTAAATTCTGCGTCGCTAGTCATCGCATGTCTGTGAAATATCTGCAGCCGGGGAAAATTGAACTGTTGATCGCTCTATCAATCAATCAAATTTCATTTTCTTAAATGTAAATGAATGAACACGACCAACATCCATCTCTTCCAGTGATGGAAGGATTACTTAATAAGAAAAGGAGTATTTGCGCGAAGAAAGTAATTAAATCTAAATGGCAATAAGGTGTTTAATTCCGCACGCCATGCTTCCCGTCTCTTTGCTGTTGTGACTTGCGATTACCTGGTACCAAGGGACCAACACCCTGTGGTTCAGTGGTGTCGGACATGGCTGACGAGCGATGGACACCGAATTCACGCCTGAGCCGGTAGGGCAGACTTTTCCTCAGCGTCGAACTCGCTGGAGTGAGTCATAAGTCGCCCTCATGAGTGTGCCATGAGGAGTGGAAAAGGGGCAGCAACTCAAGGTGCACAACGTTGCCGTGACATCTGCATGAACGTACCGAAATAAGGGGCCGATCGACCGCACATTACGTTGTTGCACGAACAACCGTCGGCTGAGCTTGACAGTCCACTGTCCAATCTGACTGGGCTTTTTTTCTAGTTAGCCGATCTTGTAACATATTTGCATTCTGACTTTTATTTGCACTGAATGACCTGTCCGTTAATAAGCTGGCCCCTCAAAGGCTCTAAACACAACGAACTATACAAATGGTGACCTTTTTTGGAACTGCCGCCGTTTCAGCCATCATCAGGGCAAATCGATCTGTCCATTTACATTACGGTAAAGAGAAATTAAACGACTGATTGAGTTAAACGATACTACTGTTTAATGATGTTTGATTTAACACGGCTTTTCCTCATGCACTTTATGTTATTTTATCGTTATAGGTGTTGGTTTAGTTTTAAACAGGTCGCTGTCCTATGTTTTGCTTTTACTCTGCTAACAGGTTCTATTATTTATGGTTATTTATGCGTAAAGCTGATTGCCTCTCTGAAAAATGAAGTTCTTCAGTGATCCTGTTTAACCAGCAAGAATTTTTACCTCTTGAACGTTAAATTTCTGTGAGGATTCTAAATGGCCAGAGAATTATCACTTCCTCATGCACTTAATCACGTTTTAAATTTCTGACGATACTAAGTGGTACTTAATACTGCACAACAATCATTTATGCAGTGGAAAACAAGTCAGAAAATGTTCTGCAACAAATAAAGAACAAAACCCAGTAACGACAAGAATACCGGAATCGTCCGCACGGATAAAGTTCGTTGTAATGTGTGACCACAGTTGCACAGGTTGGTACTGCAATAGAAAATTGAGCAACCAGCGCTAGAATTGCACTTCTGCTCATTCAACTGCATCCCTGGTCTGGTGATACTTTCTTTACATCCTCTTACCACAAAAACGATTCCTACAAAACGTTAGACATTTACATCAAAATTATGCGTGCATAATGCAAGCGGATGCTCCAGACGCCAAAAAATGATGTTCCTTCAGAATCCAACATTAGATCCGCATGGTATAGTGAGGGGAGCAGCCAAGCTGGAAGATACATGACTGCAAATCCTCTCCCTATTTGCAGGATCAGTGGTTAAACGAGTTTGTTAACGATTCGACGAAACAACAGTCTTTCAGGGAATTTTGCTACAGAGAAAAATAGTCACCATAAGTATGAGCGACTTTACTCGCTTTCCATATTTATCCATCAAGCAAAATGTCATAGGCTATGTGCCATATCATGTAGGGCACGGATATAGAGTAGCAGCAATTGATGTGTCATTACAATTAATATAAACGTAGAAACCATGGCATAAATTACAGGCCACTACCACAGACTGGGTGTATAAAAGCACGTTTATGTATTATCAGCGACAAACATCCTAGTCATCCCTCGTTACAAGGTAGGCCGCATAGTGCAAGACAGATCATGCATTTTAATACACCTTGTGATGGCCGGTAAGAGAGAAGGGCACTCGTCATGTCTTACCTTGTGTCAAGAATGCACTCTGATATCCAAAGTTAGCTCACAAGGGTAGGTCCAGCTACGGCCTTTAATTCCTTGTCAATTTACTGCTTTCATGAACTGTTTAAAGGCTTCATTGAATGACGTCATACAATGAATTTTCTTTAGTGAACACATCAGGATTAAACAGCAATTGTAAATACCTTCCTCGCATTTCTAACACTTGTGCAGGATCAAATGTTGGATTACCATCAGTTCTTTCAGGAAAATTTGTTAGTCCCACATTTTTTAGGTCAAAATGAGACAAATGTTCTAAACACTCATCACATCATTTATATTTAGCGGTATATTCATCCTTCTTCCAGATAACAGCCTCATGCCTCGTTTTCTTCTGCATTTTCTCTTGCCAGTTGGCCCGCCGTCAAGCTTTCGAGCTATGCTTTTTTGTAATCGTTTAGTTTACACACCTGTTCACGACTTCTTCCTTCTATGTCCATCCTACTAGCTTCTCTACAGATTTCATCTTCTGATTATCTGGCAAGAGAGGTTCTTGCTCACCGTGCCATCACTGCTCCTATAAACAACCCCAACGGAGTTGAACTGTTTTGTCACCTACATGGCGGTGACCCAAAGTCAGACCACGGGAGCACGGACGAAACAGTTTGTCCGGACAAACCCGTTAATTTCTGAGCAATCCAACCCCGTTATCACCAGCGGCTACAATTCGTTGGCTCAACGATTTGATACCGAATGCTGACCTCGCGCTTGTTTTGCCGCTATTATTCATAGCCAGTGTGAATTTTGAGTCCATTACCAGTAAAATTCTGAATAAATGACAAATTCTGATCATTTCTGTTATTACGAAAAAAATTTTTGAATGGGTGAATGCCCTAAGTAGGATTCGGCAGAACCTCATTTGCCGTCCATTTCAGGATTCATAACAACCTTCACGGCGACCATAGCGATTAAGATGAATGATTTTCATCGTACTTCGTTTAGTCATCTACTTTAAACTTCACTTTGTTCTCACGAGTGGCGATGGCAGGTTAGATTATAAAGTCATAGCACCGAAAATTTTATAAAATAGGATGATATGGTACAATATCAAAAGCATTCAAATAAACTAGAGCATTATTGGCATAATGCAATAATCCGTGTCGGTTTCCTCTTTCATGAGTTGCCAATGTCATCGGTGAGTAAAAACAATTCTCCTGATCAGCGTTTGGTTCACAATATTTTCCAGTGATGTCTTAAATTTTGACCGTTGTCCAGTATTCCAAAAGTCTATTACTTGATTTAGTGAAGAGGAGATTCGCATGTGGTGCGCTCCAGGCAGCTGCTTTCTAAATCTTGTCGAACTGGCTATGTTCGACATTCACTCTCATCTGAGAGAATAAAAGCAAAAGTGTTTTTAGTATCAGTAAAGAAAGATACGGATGGAAACCTGAACCAAATGCATATTTATTAAGTGAAGACTCCGGAACTCACAACAATACTCATTCTTCAGCACAGATTAATATTACTGAAGAAAGAACTTCGTTTTGGGTTCTGAAACTTCACTCAAAATATGTTTATTACGGCTCAAAACGGTATCTCTTTAGCTATTTATGTTTAAAGCCTACTTATATCTTTTCGACCTGAATTCGTAGGGTCGATTAACATGGAAAATGCAGGTTATAATAGAAGGAACTGACATTTACCATTGTGGGATATGACAATTTTCGCACAGGCGGTGTAACGACAAACATCTTTGTTTACCAGCTGAAATTCGACGTCGTTTGGGTCACTGCAGGCTGACATTATTGGTGGTAAGCGGAAGGTGTTGGTAATGAGGCTTTTGATTACGGTCCTCTCGGGTTCTTCGATATTAGAGGGTAACGCTGATGAGCAGGCATAACACTCGTTCCCGTACGATGGTGCGAATCCTAGCACTGACACTAAAGTGGAGGAGAGTGAACAAAATGATATGAGTCACATCACTTACTCGCTAACTGCAGCAACGCATTCAACTTTGGCGACATCACGAGCTGATCTTTATATGGCGTTGCCACAGTAACGTTGGCGCAAAAGGAAATCTGCTGATGTCCTGTTTCCATGGGAACAGCGCCGTGTTTTGCAGAGACGTGATGCGAAGGATAAAAGTCGCCCTATTGGTGCTGCCTGTAAGTTGGGGACGGCGTAAAGTGACATGGTGACGAACAAATGTTGGGAATGCAATGTCGTTGAACAATTTTTCCAACGCCATTATCGTTGTTTTTTCTTGCTTAAAAGAAATAACAGAATTTAAAGAAGTTAGTCAGAACAAAACTTCTGTTCAACTTTCTATGCATGAAATTGGACGAGCAACGGCTAATGGAGCAAACTGGATTTCGCCGAAATTTTTCAGCGTTCGACTACCTCCAATTATTTAGTCAGCTACTCGAAACCGAAACGTGTAATGATTATAAATGGACCATTTGCATGGTCTTTGTCGACTATGAAAACGCTTTCAACATGGGGGGGGGGCATGACACAGTCTTCTAAACGTTACAAGGGCAAGGAATAAAGAAAGATTACACCCAAATTCTAGAAAAGGTATCCACAAGAAGACTCGGTTGTTTGAAAATCCAATTGAAGTCATCAGTGTTTCTGATGAGGTTCATGACCATGGCAGTATATGGCCAAAATTGTTTAATGTATATTTTGAGTCTTTGTCCCGCAGAGTGAAATAGTATGAGGATTTTCCACTAGCTGACCAGCCGAAGACCACGGTGACTGCCAAGAATATACTTGGGCAAGTTTCTCGAACACTCTGCCACACACTCGAGCTATCTTCTGTCGAAGCTGAAAAGCTTGGGCGGGATCGGAAGCGTTGGAGACACTGTCTGAGGCGTCCGCCTTCGTGACACTAAAGGATAACCGATCATCGAAACCTGCTGGACGACGGATCGAGGTTTCGCTGTGCTTCTTCCTCTGTCGATTCTAAGTGAATGCTGGGCTATCTGCCTCGTGTCCCCATTGGATTTGTCATTGTCTCTGTATGCTGTTCGCGGCTCGATGTCCGGACTGTCCCCTGTTTGGTCACGTCGTGGTACACATCTGTTTATGGCGTGTTTATGGCATGAATACATTTTACGGATGCTTGTTTACTGCCTGTGGTAAAAACACAGCTGCAACCGACTTCTGTCGGCCTGACAAGCACGGAAGTGGTCCTGGCCAACAGCCAGGTCGATTTGTCGTGTTCCTTTTGATTCCGCAGAATCTTTATAAACATGGGCACCTGCTGGTTCACGGCCATCAGCGGTTGGCGTCAGCACCATTAAGTGGTCATGCCTTGCCGTCGAATGTGACGGCGGACACTTCGCACCTGGCTGTAACCTTGACGCCCAGCCGGACCACATTTCGATGCAGCAATTCTAACCACCGTTGCCCAATGTCAGTCGATGTTTCGGAACTTTCGGTGTCGCTGACGAGCCCTCGCTGACTGAAGTTAAATCCCAAGGCGGTTTCTCGCAATTATTCATCTTCTTTCCATATTTGATGTTTACGATTTCAGACCATACTGATCTTTTGGGACCTACGTTTCTATTGGACATGGACTGAGAATTTCGTTTGTGGTTGTCACATTGAAAACAGCATAAAACACGGTTTCTTAATATACATCGGGTGATTGACCGACACGGATGCTTTGGCTCGTGTATCACATGCTTTCTTTAAGGTTGGAGGTTGGTAACGTTTTGGAGATTAGCCTTCTTGTCTGCAACAGTCAGAAGGTTTGGTGCCAGAAGGCCTTCGGTCCTCGGAATAGCCATATTATTGTTGCTCTTGGAGATCCGCTGGCTAAACACGCAAGTTCGACAGTATTTTTTGTTCTCTACTTTTTCATAACAATTTCCTTTAAGTTACGATACCTTGTCGGGGCGTGACCTCACCAATATTAATGTTGCA